CCATAATGAAAGAGCTGAAATCCTCATCCTTGGAAGTGAGGATGTAAACACAGTATTTAATATAGTAAATAAACATTCAGAGTTCACAAGAGTGAAAGAAAAATGAGAAAATAATAAGATAACCTCTTAAACTCTAAAACTGCTTCTCAAGTGAAAGCAATACGCTTCTGTAAGTATGGAAGCCCATTTTTGCTGCAGTGATGAAAAAAATAAAGATCCTGTAAGTTATTATAATGAGAAACTTTATAATGAGACTTACTAGTTTATAATCATGATTGACCTGACGAGTGTGAGATGTATAAAGTGATCAGAGCAAAGTAAAAACAGTGTTTGACCACACAGTGTCAGGAAAGAGCCAGAGTACCTGGCTGCAGATGAGATGATTGTCCGTGCTACTTCAGGACTATTTTTAATGAGCCGATGTAAAGTTGATTCATCAAGTCTTTAAAAACTCTCCAAATATTGAATTGTTAAAAAATCTGCTTCCACACATAAGAAATGAATGAAGTGACAGCAAAGTATTTCATTACAACATGAATGCAACCAATCCGACATGTGCATCACATGTTTCCTCTTTCCGCGTTTTCATTTCTTTGACCCTCCTCGGCCACCGTACTGAACCACTTCCCAAACAACAACATGACGGAGGCTGCTTCTTCTGCTGTCTGTGCATCTCTCAGTGTCTGCGAGCAGGAGCCGGTTCGTGCTTCACAGCTTCTCCGATGATAGTGAGACGAACTTGAGCCGACAGTGAGACGGGCAGATAAAACATGGAGTATCTGCTGCAGGTGAAAATAGGCGCTCTGGTGGGTTTGCTGCTCCTGACGCTGTTTTTTGGATCCATCCCCGCCCGCGTCAAATGGTTCAGACGCACAAATGGAACAGGTTCGTGCGTTAGTTTTGATTGAGATGTTATATTCATTCATTTTGCAAAGAGAAATCTCCAGCCTCATTTGAACACCTCGGGTCAAGGTGAAGTTATTTTCTATTCTTCTTTTCTTAAGAATACTTTTATTTTTACGACATCGACGCCGAACTAATAAAGGAAAGTCGCAGATTCGTGTGCAGTATTCATTTCTATTGTGCGACGTGTTAGTTCCCACTGAAACACGAGTAAACCTTAAAGTAACAGAATTTGTAATGGAGTCCGGTGCATGAGATTCTCTCTTCCTGACTTAATCACATTTCAGGTGAAGATAGTGTTGCTGTGTCGACGTTATAAACATCTGCTGATTTTATCAACTGTGACCTAGAAACCATTAACGACCTGATAACAGCTACCAACACAGCACACTTCATGACAGGGTGGGCTTCAGCCATTGATCAGAAACCAAACACTCTGAGAAGCAAGAAAAAAACACACAACCATTGTTTTAATGCTGTTGGTTTAATCTAGTGCATGATGGGCTGACACTGTTAAATACTTATTGTCCAATTAAAGTGTCACTGTGGTTTATGCCAACATCAAAATGTAATGTATACATTCTTGACCACATTAACAAACCCTGCTCTCGCCCCTGGACCTGAGTCACCTGATAGGGATGAAGCCTGAAGCAGAAATTCTTCCAGACACATGGTCACAGGCTGAGATGGTAAACTTTGGCCCCTTCATAAAAAAAAAAAAATGGAAGTGAAAGTAACATTTGTGCTGTTTTGAGTCATTTTGGCTGCTCAGGATGTGTCACATGATCTTCCTTACAAGTTTTTTTCACAGTGGAAGGAAGGAGGCTCAATGATTTTAGGTGTATCATCAATATTTCAGCGATAGGGTTATTAGGGATTTTGTTCGACCAGTTGATAACGAGAAGTTAGAACATGTAAAATATTCCATTATCCCACAGAGAGAATCATTATACATTTTCACAAAACAACACTGAGGCTAAAGTTTAAAAATGTTCTGTTTTATTGTTTTATCATGATTATTCAAACTGCTTTTATGTGAACAGGTGTGTATTGCACTTTATGCGTGAACTGTGCTAGACAAATAAAGTTTGTCGTTATTGTAATCATTTACAGAAACCCATCGCACAGTTCTGAGTCTGATCAGCTGTTTTGCCGGTGGGGTTTTCCTGGCAGCATGTCTGCTCGACATCATTCCAGATTATCTGTCAGACATCAACACAGAGCTGGACAATCGGAATGTGAAGGTACGTCCAAGTATGAAGGGATTTGAACAAACCTAGTGTCAGAAAATAAAGAAATAAAGAAATAAACAACAAAAATGATGATTGTTTTTTATTGGAAATGTGTTAATGATTGAGTCTATAAAAGTGTGAATGCAAATTCTTCAAAGTCCAAAACCCCAAAAATATAACAGAAAATCTTCACTTTTGAGAATCTAGAACCAGAGGAGGTTTTAACCTGATAATTGACTTAAACAATTAATCCATAATCAGTGATTAATGTTGTTAGTCATTCAGTTAATTGACTATATCAAAACACAGAGATTACATCTGTGTGTGTGTGATAAATGCACTCTATCTATTCTGAAGTACAAAAAGAAATGGCGTTGCATTCTCTGCTTTATTTTCTTAAGGAATAAAACATTGGCCTGTTTTTGTGAAAGAATGAAAATAAATGTTGGAAACAAAGTGATGGAGTTATTAATCTTTCACAGTCTTAGACTTTGATCAAATGCACCTTGTTATAGGAGTATTTGCTTTGCCAGATCTTTCCTCTATAAAAAGATACAGTTCTGTAGTCTGTTTAAATCTCTGTTCAACAAATGTTGACTTGTTAAACCTCTGTCTCGTTCTCGAACAGACCAGCTTCCCTCTTCCGGAGTTCATCATGGCCTCCGGCTTCTTCATGGTCCTCATACTAGAGAAGATGGTCCTGAACTGCCAGGACATAGGAGGGGCCCAGGAGGAGAGGGCCCCCCTTATATCGGACAACAGAAACGGGCACGGGCACGGACACGGAGCGAGCACTGATCTGGAGAGCAGCGGCCACCACGTCCATGTTGACTTTCAGGCTCATTCTCCGTTTCGTTCCTTCATGCTCTTCCTCTCGCTTTCACTCCACTCAGTGTTTGAGGGTCTCGCCATCGGCCTCCAGAACACAGACTCAAAGGTAAGAAGAGAAGGTACTTCACCTGCTCTTAAAGTTAAAGCTGCTCTTTCAAAAAGAAAACTACAACATCAGCAGCGTGGATGTTTTTTTTCTCTCTTTTTTTTAACCATAAAACTCACCAACGATTTTTAGTCATTAACAAGTTAAAACCAATATGGATTTTTTAAGGGAGTAAAACATTAAAAAATAGCCAATGATTCTTAAGAGGTCATTATTAAAACCCTGATATCACATAAATGTAATTGATTCATGTCAATGGGATTTCTTTTAAATAAGGTTTTCCTACTTTTGGAACAGAACCGGGAAATTCCAGTTTGGCTCCCGCTCGACTGTCTCATCAAACGTTATCTCTCTGCTTCTTCATGATTTATCGCGTCGCCTTAGGAGAGCCCAGTTCAAATGAAGTTGAAATGATATTTACATGAGCTTCAGGAATTCTGAAGAAAAAGAATCTCACTGTGAGGCTTATGGTCACAAGACGGCCTCAGCAGTCTCTCTATACTCAAACTATATCAGTTTCCCCTCAGGACCTTTCAGTACATCTAGTTTTAAGCTGTATGTTTGTTCAATTGGAAACTTATTTAATTAATAAATACATTTTAAAATGAAATGTACACAAACAAAATCTTATCTAGAGTCCTTTGAAATTATAACATTTTCTAGGTACAATTTAGTGATAAACACAATCATTTGCTCACTTTGAATTTTCTCGACATTTACCTGCTGTATTCTCACCTGGGCGCATTTTCATTTTCTCCAGAGTCTCCAGTGATGGCTTCGTCATCGACCATAATAGAAAAGTATAATACTGTTTTGTTTTCTGCAGGTGTTAGAGATCTGCATCGCTATACTGGTCCACAAGAGCATCATCGTGTTCAGCCTGTCTGTGAAGCTGGTCCAGAGCGCAGTTCGGCCACTGTGGGTGGCTGCTTACATCGGAGTGTTCGCCATGATGTCGCCTTTAGGCATCGCCATCGGCATCAGTGTGATGGAGGCCCAACTAGCAGCCGGAGTGTTGATCCAGGCCGTCCTGGAGGGGCTCTCTGCGGGGACGTTTATTTACATCACCTTCATGGAGATCCTCCCACATGAGCTAAACTCCCCCGGGAAGCAGCTTCTCAAGGTGTTCTTCATCCTGCTGGGCTTCAGCGTCATGGCAGGGCTGACGTTTATAGGATGAGATCTGTGGCCTCTGGACTCTCTGGTACGACTCCTGCAGCTCCCGCAAGCTTGTTTGTAGGTTTACTTACACACAGTTAAAATACGTTTTTATTGTGCAATGGAACGGTTGTTGATGTTTTAGTGATTTCAAAATACCACAGATTTGTGTACATACAAACATTTTTTAAAAGGATTTTATGTTTAGAGGATCCAGCTGCTTGCAAAAGGTTTGGTACACAGAGGAAAGAAGTGGTGCATCCTGAGTGCCCTTATTTTTCACTGGTCGTGTTTGGATACAAACCCACTGTCACAGACCTTTGTTACTATGGAAGGAACCACTGGAAACACAAGGTCCTGTTGTATGAATGATATGTTTGTATGTCACATGATTTTTAATGTTTACATTTCATTGAAGCACGTCTGACAGCATCTTGTTCCCAAAAAGAGTTTGTGCCTTCACTTTGTGTGGATGTAGTTTCCAGTCTTTGGCTGCTTTTAAACATTTGACATTTCTTACATTTTTCCAGTTAACTGACTCTGATGCTTCTTTTTTTTTTTTTTTTTTTTTTGCATTTTTCCAGTAAATAATTGCTCATTTCCAGTAATGAGCTCAGATAATTCCATCCTCTATTGAAACAAGCTGATAACTGTTATTTACATTGTACTGACCCTCGTCCCAGTTTAGTCCACACTGTCCTTCCACTTTATCCACTGTTTTACATTTGGAATGTGGACTGAAACAGAAGCTTTAAATTCTTTAAAATCGACAGTATTGAAAGATAAAGATTTCATTCTGCAGACTGATACATGTGCACGCACCTTTACAGCACAGTACATACATGTGCCTTCCTGTCCGAGGCTCGGGACTATATTTTTTGCGAGCCACACAATTTCTAAAATTACCATAATGATTATACACAGGTGCACTGAATTTACAAAAACTGGATTATGAATATGAATGTTTATTTGTGACTGAAATTTTAAAGCGTCTCTGTTTAATCTCAAATCCTGTTTTAGTTTGTCATGTGTTTTCTGAGCAGAACAAATATCAGGAAGTTGGATCGTGTGGGTTTACACTCAGCAGCTTTATTCAGACCAATTCAAACTTGACACCTCTCGGACTGATGAAACGATCAGGTTTTACTTCTGCTTCCAAACTGATACCGTCATGTGTAGAAATCCACCGCACGCTATTTTGTGCCTTATAATTATTCATGAGAGAGAAGACTTTGTTGTCTGTTGTGTAAACTTGATGAGAGTAAAGATAAAAGAACAATTTTCCATCTGCTGGTTTGTTGTGTGCATCCATCCAACCATTCTTTATACCACTTATCTTTTTTTATACCCATCAATCAAATGTTAGGTGGATTTAGAAAATAATAATAATGATTAATACACAATACATCTGTCTTACTTGATGTAGACATACTTGAACTATTATTTCAATTTACTGAAATTACTCTTTTGTTTATGTATGTTACACAACTATTTATTTCAATTCAATATTATTTGTATTGCACCAAATCACAATATACATTATCTCATGGCGTTGTACACAGTAAAGTTGAGACTGTACAAAATTATAAAGAAGCCATAACAGTTTCCACTAAGCTCTCTGGAGAGAAAAAAGATGCCATTGGAAGATTTCTGCCACTAGATGGGAGTGTTTATCCTTCTCCACAGGGGGGCAGGATGTTCGAAGATATTTTAACTTCCCATGTCCCATGAGCACTGTTAAGAAAA